GCTTAAGCCTCTATCACCAGTCACCTCTATGAAACATGCTCCAGATTATGGTAGCCAAAGTCCAGATGACCGCTCTGATGTCATATGGTTCTGGTTCGCTGCCATCATCACTAGTAAGGCACTCCCATGGAATCCATCTAAGGTTAAAAGGTCTGATTCTTTTTAGAACAGTTGATACAAAACTGCCCACCTACATCTATCCACATCGTTCAGGTAAAGCCGTTTTGGGAAAAGACCCGTTGATAGACCAAATACCACGACCTAGTAGCTGTCATAATTAATTAAATTAACGACTGAACCAATCTTACCTTCAAATTATTATCAGCGGTAAGAAGACAAACGTCGATAGACAATTTCTTGTGGACAAATTTTGACCGCTCGAAGTAGTCAATTGCTGTAGCAATTTGGCGAGCGAATTTTAGCAACTGAAATGATTCAAGACTCAAATGGTTATTATAACAAAGTTAATTAGTAGAAGTACTCACCTCGCTATTCTTCCTTTGTTCAGCGGTAACATAGTTCGCTAAGGTTTGAACTGCAAAGTTCTCGAGAAGGATGGTAATCTGAGTGGTGGTGACGATACTACCCCACAAACGTTGTACATTTCTAGAAAGTACTAACGCATAACCATGTTCTGCTCATTGCTCTAACCCAATGCAATCTGAGCTAATCAGGAACTATCCGAATCCTTCACTTCATAAGCAAAAGCGGCTGCGGATCACGTTAGAAGGAATTCGCATCTGGTCATCTCATAACAGCCGTCGCTAACAATCATGAACTTTAAAGGATATGTTTTTAGGCTGCAGCTACATTAATATCGCCTCTCAACGACGTTTCCCAGCTCCGGTTTAAGATGGCTAGTGGTTCTACTTTCTCATCGTACGCATATACTTTATGCTCAATGTGTTGTTGAGAGAAACCTCTCAAATGTTTTGTTTTGTGTCCGTGGTCCATGATCACGATATGGGTGGTCTCAATGAGAAAGAAAGCAAACCCAAATTATTTTTTTAGAAGCGCCAGAGAAATAATTGATATAAAACTGTGAAGCTTTTTCTTGGCAAAGTTCGAGACTGCAAGAGAGGTGGTAGTAATCCTCCTAAATTTGCCACAACAAGGGGGCGAGATAGCTGGATATGGCAAAGCCACGCTCGCCACATGTTGCAGTTGTTTATTGTCTTAACACACAACTGGTTTACTACCCCCTAGGTGCTCTCTTTTGGCTCGGAATAGTGGAATCATTTCATTTGTGGGAAAACATAACAATACAACTGAAAACTTAATACTACTTGTCTCATATTAAAGCAAATGGCTCTGATAAATATCGATGAACTGCAAATTATAACCTTCTTTGTTTAGACCGAAGTAAGTTCTTAACCAGATTGCCACACAGTTTCGGTATCGCAAGGTACTTTACGAAAAAGAAGAACATTCTGTACGTGTAACTTGTGCTCGAATTTCAATCAGTTTTGATACCACGTATATTTCCTTTGAATACCATGCCGTAATCGAAGACTGGTACAACGCCTTTTTTATAGGCATACTTTTGAGGTCACTTTCTTTCATCGGAAACATTCTGTCTTCACTCGTCGTGCAGGCCCCAGCATTGTTTCCATCCGTTTCTGTCTCTCGGTAGCGTCATTCACGATATTGGTATTAAATTGCGGCGGTGACGTTCGCGAGGTCCAGATCCATTACTCTTTATCAGCTGGCCCATCAATGCAATGTTAGCGACAACATACACGTTAGCCAATCTGGTCGGTGGTCTTCCTCGAAGACGTTTTGCTTCGCGAGCAGTCCATTAGAGTCTTAGTGCCTATCTGTCTCTTTTCTCCTCATTAATGAGCAACTCATCGATGTTTTGCTTTAGAGACCGACGCATTGATCTCATATTTGAACTGCGAAGTCCAACGA